CCCCAAAACCCCAAAACCCCAAAACCCCAAGACACATAATAGATTAAAGCTTAGAAAAAGGTTAAAATCACTGAGATTTTTTAAGCTTATCATTTTCAGTATTCAAATCAACCAAAAGCTCTCCCATCATCTTCAACTAATCTTCATAATTTCTACTAATTACCTGCTTATCATTGATGGCGTTTTCTAACTAATAGTTTAATTGCTAGATCTGGGTATCAAGGTCTGACTTTAGCTTGTCATATTTCAACTTCCACTCTCTATCCTTCTCAATGACTTAAAGATTACTGCCTTAGGATAATTTATTCATATTGTGAAGTTTCTAAGCCATTTATAATACTTTTTAAAGTGATTTTTCCTAAAGTAATGCTAATTTCTGGTCTATACTCTAACTAGTAAAGTGGTTTAAAGCTACATTTTATCCCTGATGTTTTTAAACTTGGATCGAAAGTTTCTGCATACCTTTATAAACATCCTCATAAAGATAGAAATCTCTACTATCTTAAACTATCTGCTGAATGATGATTTTATCATCATTATTTCCCTTTGATTAATTCATACCTTCGTCAAGTTTATCATCACTTACTAGTTACTTCAAACTTAATAATTATTCCATATACTCATTCTTATAGCTGTTTTAACTTTATTCTTGTTATTGGTTCTAAGAGAAATTTGAATCTTAATATTTTTCTTGTACTTAATCAATCCACACAAGAATTTGTTCCTTTAAATTTTGATTATCATTTTATCTAAGTTTTAGAGAAGATTCTAGCTTAATTTTAAGTTATTTCAGCTAATCAATAAGGTTGTTGTTGTCTTTATTGTCGTTTTCAATCTTTAGTATCTATCCATTAAGTTGCCTTATTTCTTAGTCTTTAGAAACTATTGATTATTTATTTGCTACCTATTCTTCATATGGTATAGATAAAGGAATTTGATCAATATTCTTAATAAGGCCTTAAATCTCATAATTATTCACTCCTTGCTAGTTTGAAGCATTTGAAAAATTCAGAGAGACATACGCTTATAAAGTTTTGCCTTTGTGATCAGAATTTTTAATCAAAGCCAGTGACTTCAGCATATTGATAGAGTTATGAGTCTAGTCTACCTAGCCTGTTAATAAATGCAATTGATTCAAAAGTTCCTCACCTAAAATTTTCAAGTTATTGCTTTTAGTCTCAAACTTATTGAACATTATCTTGTCATCCTTTATTAACTAAATTTTCCTCTTGTATTACTTTGCCATACTCTGAAGTTCATTCTTTATTTTTAGTAATTCTTCACTAACGTTTTAAATAAACAAGGCCTATGCATAAGCATCTTATGACTGATCTTTGAATGTATCAATTTCATTGGAAATTTATGAGAGTGAGTATTTGATGTTTTATAGACATTTTTTCAAGTTTTCATTAATTGTTTTGGCATCTGAACTCTTTATTAAAATATTAGATTACTCATCCAAAAAGTTTATCTAAATCATCTTTAAAAGAAAAATGAATGAATACAGCATAGTTAATGAGTTAGTCAAGCAATGAAAAAATCTCAAGTTTCTCACAGGATTATTCTCTATTAAGGTATAAACTCAAATATTTACGGATCAAACGAGACGCCTGATTGAATATTTTAAAGGAGTTAATCTAGATTCTTAAAAAATATAGGTATTTGATCTTCTAATAAGTCTATCGTTTGAGTAATCTATATAAAATGTATTTTATAGTATTTGGTTACTCTGTGAATATATTTGAGGAATTTCTAGAAAGTCTGAGAGAGATTATCTCCAACTGGCGATTATCCATCTAAAAATATCTTGGCTTAATTCAGCATTTGTTCTAGACCCTTTTGTAAATTCGAGATGGTAGATTAAATTTGTTTAATCGAATTAACTTGCTTCTCTTGCTGTTACTTAGTGCACTTAACTTCATTTAAATGATTGAAAGTATTATTAAATGGATCAAATGGCATTTTCTGCTTAAATTTATGGCCTGCTTCTTCTAATTCATACTTAAGCTCATCAAACTTTTGATTCCAATTATCTATTTCCAAACTATACTTTTCTTAAAGATTGCGCAATTCTTCTTATATTTTCTGCTAAACAATTTTTTCATTGTCAATAATCTCTAGCAACTTCAAATTTTCATCTACCTTTGCATTTAAGTTAGTCTCTAATTCATGAATCGTGATCTTATTCATTTCGGTTGTTTTTTCCAAAGCATCAATCCTGTCTTGATAATCTCTACTCAAATGGAAAATCTTCTCATGAACCATTGCTATAGTCATAATTAATCAAAATTGAAATGATTTACTATTTTCCAATATCTTTGCCTCCAATTCTTCCTAAACAATCTTAAATTAAGTATTCATTTTCTCGAATTCTTCTTTCGATGTCTGATAACCAGAACTTCCAAAGATGTTCCAGCCGTAAGATCCTGATGATTTTGTCGACCCTTCCTTATCCTTTTCTTAAAGTAGCTATATTCTCTTAATCAAGCCCTAATTATTAATCTAAAAAGATTCTATTTCTTCTTATTTCTTGATCAGAGTCGTCTTTAGCTGAGTAATCTCTTCGTTCAACTCACCTTTTACTTTGATTTCCTCTCTGAGTTGTTTCTATAGCAATTTATAATTTGTCTTCAGAGTATTGTACTCCTCTAAAGTATTGTGTATAAAAATAATCAATTTATACCTTTTTTGCTGTCTTTTTCCATTTAAATTTAACTATTACTATTTTACTATTTTAAATTTACTAATGGGGTTTTGGGGTTTTGGGGTTTTGGGG